GCCATCTTTGCCATGAGACCAGAAGACTGGATGGTGCCCAGCTACTATTACTGTATATTTTGATCAAGGATTCTATAGAGGAATCCTGATCAAAAGAGGGAAAATGCAGAACAGAATTTCAAATTCTTATGGACTCTAGACTTTCTGGAGCCATGAGGGCTGGATGAACCCCTGAAACTATTGCCCTGAAATAATCTTTAAACCTTAAGCCAAAAATATCCCCTGAAGTCTTCTTAAAACCAAACAATTGTTTAGCTTAACTAGTACAGAATGTCTGCCTTAAGCGTTGTGCTCTTTTAAGATCTTTATGAGATCAAATTGACAACAGCATTGAGAGATTAGATAGGAAACTTAGGGGGGTAGTGATTTTATGTTAATGAAGGAGGAACAACTCAGAAAAGGGGGTGAGAATGGTTGTACAACTTGAAGAATGTTATCAGTGTCACTGAATCATACAGGTAGAATTGGTGTATGTTCTGCTGTGTTCTCAACAACATAAAATAAATTATTAAAAAAGAAAATGCCAAATGGCTTAGGCATCAGCACCTCACTTTTCTTTCCATTGTAGTGTTTTATCTTCTTTGCACCTGGGGCTCAGTGGACCCTTCTCTCTGCTCAAGAAATAATCATAATTTCATTCATTGTAAATACTCAGGGATCACATATTCATATGTAACCCTGGGCCCATAGGAAATCTAAATGGACAAAGTTAACTGTGTGTAAGACAATAAGGAGTGGTGGAGCTCTGGTGAAATAGACAATGCAGTTACTCAGCTCCAGAGATTTTGGTTATGCAGAAAGTGATCTTAAGAGTTGCAAGTTCTTCCAGTTTTTTCAAGAGAAGCCAGAAGTATGTGTGTGTGTATTTCTCTCATTTTTAAAACACTGTGATCAAAGTAAAACACATCTATGGCCCAGGTGTGGCCCATGTGCCAAAAGCTTGAGGTCTCTGATATAAATAATTATCTTCAATATGTTTTAGATTTCTTATGATATTAATGGACTATCATTTTCTCAATGTGAAATAATTTGTAATTTTACAGACATTAAACTATCAACAACAGTATGGAGCAATGTTGAGCAGGCAGGGCAGACATTTCTTCTGGCATGTGTACCTTCTTAACCACCTGAAATTAAACCAGATGAGCCAGAAGAACCTCTCTCCGGACACAAGAGTGGCTTCCTTATGCTTGCTATTCACTAATGCTTTTAATGATATTGGCTAAAATTTATTGATCTGTAACTTGGTTCCTGACTTTGTGATACATATTTTTATATGGATTATCCCACTAAAACTCACAACAATCCATCAGTCAGAATGAGCTAGGTGATGCTCAGTAACAAATCACCCCACAACCTCTGTGACATAACACAACTGAAGTTATTTCTTGCTCATTCTACACGTCCAATATAGGTCATCAGGGTGGCTCTGCTCATCATTGTCATTCAGAAACCCAGGCTGAAAAGACTTCATCTCAACATGTTCTTCCACCGAGGCAGGAAAAGTGAGTGAGGCAAATCACATACTGATTTCTAAAGTTTTTGTCCAGGAGTGACACATATAACTTCTGCTTACAATCATTGACCTTAAATCTTACTGAGTGGAAAAAAATGCCTGGAATACTTTGGAGGGACATGCTTTATCAAATATGAGAACATATCATAAAAACACTAAAAACAAATCAGATATTTATATAGGAATAGACAAACAAATCGGTAGAACAGGAAATAGAATCCAGGTGTAGATCCCAATATACATGAGAATTTAATATATGACAAAGATAATATCCAATTTAGTGGGGAAAAGGTAGATTATTTTTAAATGGTACTAGAAACAAACAAGTTGAATTTATATAAAAAATAATTTCACTTGGGTTAAAAACTTAAACATAAAAATAAAAGAATAAAAATAGTCCAAAAATACATGATGGGGAAATCTCCATAAAGCCATATACCTAGAAGCTGTAAAAGAAAAGATACACATATTTAACCACATTAAAATATGTATTTCAAATGATAATAAAAAATAATGATAAATTTAGAAAAAATATTTTAACACAGATGACAAATACAAGATTAATGTACAATGAGCTGTTTCAACATACAACCCAAAATAAAAACTACTTGCAGAGGAGCAAAATCAGATAGCCTACAACTTTATGGAAAGACATTTAAGCTCACTAGTAGTTAAACGCATTGCCACTGAGTCGATTACGGCTCATAATGACCCTACAGGACAGAGCAGAACTGCCCCATAGGATTTCCAAGGAACAGCTGGTGGATTGGATTCGGACTGCCAGTCTTTTAGTTGGCATTGGAGCTCTTAAGCACTGTGCCACCAGGGTTCCCACTAGTAGTTAGGGAAATGGAAATTAAAGTAACGATGAGGTCTAAATCAATCAGTCTGGCAAAAATAAGAAAGAGCAATAGTACCCATTTTGGTATGGCTACAAAAGGAAAATGGTGTTCTCCTTATTGCTGGTGGAAATGAGAATTGTTACAATCTTTTTGAGAAAACTGACAACATTTATTAAAATCAAATAGCCACATCCCTTTAACCCAGAATTCTCACTTCTGAAAATCAATCCCATAAACATAAAAGCCCCAGGACGCAGGGACACATGTACAAGGAAGTTAATCTCAGCGTTGTTTAATGTAACAGAATACTGGCAACAAAGTAGATGCTCAAAGGGAGTGGCTGAATAAATCACTGGTACCTCCATACTCCATACCACCAAAGAAGCAGAAAATGAAGTAGAACGATATCAGTTGACTTGGAAGGATTCTCCTGAGGTAATTTGTAGTGAAAAAAGGAAAACACAAGTAAAGAGTGTATAATAGATCCTAATTTTTTTAATGGCACGAAATCTATATGCATGGGAATTCCCATAATAATATGAATATGGATTAAAAAACATGGAAAGATGCATGTTAGTTTGATAAAATGGATTACTGTGAGGGCAGGACCAGCAGGGGAGAAGGGGAGGGAGGAGGAGTCTTATCAAAAGGAAAAAAAATAGTCTGCACAAAAAATCCCAATATGCATACCATTTATTGATTAATGCAAAGATTTAGCTAGAGTGTATATGTACAAATAATTTCTAAATGTAATAAAAATATAAATCTGATCATATAAAAATAAAGACTATATTCCCAACTTGGCTATGATTCAGGCTTTAGATTGAGGGAGGTCAATCACTTACCCCACTAAGCACTAGAAGGGACTTAAACTAACAGGACTTACCACCTGATGGCAGGTGCTTCCCAGGGGTAGATGGTTTTCATGAAAGGATTCAGCTGGGTGTTTGATGGCTCTCCAAATCACGTGGATCTACCACCAATCAGAGCCACCCTATTCTGATTCTTCAGGTTCTTTGCCAGAGGAAACAGTCTCACACTCCCTGCTATCCACCTGTCCTGAAGGCTATGCCAATTGGCTCAGTCATCAACCAGGAGAATAGCTTCATTATAGTTGCTATTAGTTAATAATTTAAATAATGATGGCTTAACTTTGGGTTTTTTCTGATTGATAGGGGTCTGGCAAACCTATCTAGGAAAAGGTTTGCGATGAAACTTGGTGTACATCTTTGGCTGAACCTTCTATAGGAACAAAACCACTTATTTCAGTGGTTTTCAAACTATATTTTAGCATGGAACCCTATTTTTCAAAAGAAATCTTATACACAGACTCAATATTTCTATATCTAAATTTATATCTATACAAATAGATATACCAAAAGCGAAACCAAACCCATTGGCGTCGAGTTGATTCTGACTCATAGCAACCCTATAGGACAGAGTAGAACTGCCCCATAGAGTTTCCAAGGCTGTAAATCCTTAGGAAGCAGACAGCCGCAACTTTCTTTCTCAGAGGAGCTGGTGGGTTCAAACCGTCAGCCTTTCGGTTAGCAGCTCAGAGCTTAACCACTGCACCACCAGGGCTCCTCGAATAGATACAGATACATTAAAAAAAAAAAAAGAGTAGATCTGTCCTGGCTGAAGTGAGAAAGGGAAGTACAGAGCCCGCTCCCTCAGGCTTTGCCTCAACCTCCATACTGGGCTCCTGCTTCATTTCCCTCCTGCCCCTCCACCTACCCTGCCCTGCCACATAGTACCCCTTAATGCACCATTGAGAACAGTAGTCTACAAAGAGTTTGAAAGCCACCAGTTTGAATGAATATCTCCTTTTAACAAATATGGAAACAAAGGCTTGATGACTGAGTCATCTTGTTCTTTATTATTTGAAATCCTTCCTGCAGAAATTAAGACCTTTTTATTTCTTGTTAGTCAATTACTCTGTACAGTCTTTGCCCAAATAATTTTACATAAATTAAGATTATGATTCCTTGGTGTTCTCTCCTTATAGTTAATTCACCATAATTTAATTTTGTACTCATATAATTTTATTTCAACAAAATAACTTCTGAGAAAATATAAATATTTAGTAAGCAATGGAAACCCTGGTGGCACAGTGGTTAAGAGTCCTTCTGCTAACCAAAAGGTCAGCAGTTCAAATCCACCAGATGCTCCTTGGAGACCCTGTGTGGCAGTTCTACTCTGTCCTATAGGGTGGCTATGAGTCGGAATCAACTTGACAGCAATGGGTATGGTTTGGTTTGGCTTTCCTGTTACAAAAAAGAAAGTTTGCAAAAAATATTATATTGATTTTTATAATTACAAGCCTAAATTTTGTTCATGTTTATTATAAAGACACACAGGTGAACTGAAAGAAGATATCATTACACATTGTCAAGTGAAATATAGATCTCCTCATCCAAACGTAGACATGGCTCAATTAATATAAAGCAAAATCTAAGTCTACTATAGAGCAGACATGTAGTTATTGATCTGGAATTGGCATGATGACAAACTACTCTGAAAATCTTCCTCTTCCCAATTAAAGTGTCACTCTTGAACTGATTGAAAGCTGTTTGATAAGTATACATTTTCAAGATGGTGTGCTCAGCTGGGGGTCTTTTTATTAAACTGAAATTCCATCATTAGCTTTGACTAGCACCAGCTGCTGTATAAATTCTGTATTGATGTAGACCTCCACTGGTGTTCCAAATATTGCAGGTGAATCTCTGACTCTAAAGTCCTCAATTATGCAGTATGAATAATTAACATCTGATAAATGCAGAATAGAAAGGACTCTCATTAGAAGACACAGTACTAGGGTCACAATCCCACCTCAGCTCCTCACAACACTGAACCAAATGGGATTTTAGTTGTAAATGAAGTGTTTTTATGTCTCTCCACTTCTTAATTTTTCCCTATACCTGATCAGAAGTGGAAAAGTTAGGACACAAAAAGAAGTGTTTTAGTCTTACATCAAAGTGAAAGACAGAATTCGAGCTTCAGCACATTCTCACTGATGCTTACCTGAACGTTGTAATTCCAGAGGAGCATGCTGGAACAGAAAATCTTCAATTCCCTGGCATTTGGGGCTCATACTTGTCACGATTTTTCTCCCTTCTAAATAGTTTCCAGTCCCTCACTACTTTAACACAAAAGAGAAACTCTCCTATTTGTGTATCTAGTATTATTTCTGTCATATATGATGAAAATACAGCACAAAAGAATTACAGGAAAGTTTCTTCTAAAGTTGAATTTATAAAAATGTCTTCTTTGTGTACTGTCTTAGTCATCCAGTGCTGCTACAACAGAAATACCACAAGTGGACGGCTTTAACAAAGAGAAATTTATTTCCTCACAGTTAAAGTAGGCTATAAAAGTCGAAATTCAGGGCATCAGCTCCAGAGGAAGGCTTTTTCTCTCTGTCGGCCTTCATCTCTTCAGTGTTCCACCGGACTAGGAGCTTCTCCACACAGGGACCCCGGTCCAGAGGATGCACTCTTCTCCCGGCACTGCTTTCTTGACGGTATGAGGTCCCCCTGTCTCTCCGCTCACTTCTCTCTTTTATATCTCAAGAAATTGCCTCAGGACACAATCTAATCTTGTGGATTGAGTCCTACCTTATTAACACAACTGCCACCCATCCTCCCTCATTAACATCATAGAGGCAGGATTTATAACATATGGGAAAATCACACAATACCAGGAATCATGGCCCAGCCAAATTGAAACACACTTGTTTGGGGGGACATAATTCAATCCATGACATGTACTAGGTGTGCCAAGTGGGACTATTTCTAAATGTGGTTGTTATATTTCAGGAGGTGTGTTTTAAACAATGATAAACTTGATCCATGAAATTATGAAATAAATTAAAATGGAACATGTCATAATAGTGCAGTGGTTAAGAGCAGAATGTTCTACAGTTAAACTCCTGAACCTCAGTTTTTTCATCAGTAAAATGGGGATAATATTAGCATCGGCCTTATGTGGTTATTTCCAGCCCTAAGTGAGATAATGTATATATGGTATTTAGTATAACACAATGTATTAGCTTTCTATTGCTGTGTAAACAAATGACCAAATACTTAGATCAACACCCATTTATTATCTTACAGTTTCCATGTTTCAGGAGTCCAGGCATGGTTTAGATGGTTCCTTTGCTTAGGGCCTCACAAGGCTGCAATCGAAATGCTGGCTGGGCTGTGTTCTCATCTGAAGACTCAAATGGGGAAGAATCTTCTCCCAAGCTCACTCAGGTTCTTGGCAGAACTCACTTCCTTGCACCTGCAGGACTGAGGGTTCCAGCTTCTTGCTGGATGTTGGTTGGCAGCTGCCTCACCACATGGACTTCTCCAACATGGCCACTTATTTCATCAGGCCAGCAAGGAGAGTCTTTAGAGGAAATCTGCTAGCAAAACAGAGTCTTATATTAGGTAACATAATCACAAGAGTGACATCCTATCACTTTTGCTGTATTCTATTGATTAGAAGCAAGTCATAGGTCCTGCCTGCACACAAAGGTGAACACCAGGAAGCAGGGATCATTGGGGCTACCTTAGAGTCTGTCTACCACATATAGTAAATGAATGAATAAATGAATGTGTGAGCAAATGAATAAATGAATGAATGAGTGAATGATGAACCTGGGTACCAACTTGGGTGCAAGCGGGGTAAGCCATAGACTCCTTGGATGTTAAAAAACATGGGAGATAGTTCTAAATACAGGATAAACAGGTACACAATGGACTCTAAAGGTAACTTCTCAGTTGAAGTCTTAACACAAGTGTTAAACTTTGTGAAAATAATGCATTGAAGAGTTAGCTACAGGCCCTGGGATTTGAGGCCCACAGAATGTCATTGTAAGATATCAAGGATGACTGGGGAACAAAACCCTAAGGGAAGAAAAGGGCTCTGATTCCCACTTTAAGTTAATCATTTTGTTTCAATTGGATAAAAAGGAGATATCACAAATGAAATAAAATGGTTAAATACAGTCACATAAGTTTTTGTAACTTTTAAGCAATAAGAACAACTAATGATAAAAACAAAAGAAAAATATTTACCACAAATGGAAAACAGAGCTATCATCTCCAAGACATAAAAATTTATTCAAACATACATAGGAACATTACCAATGCCCCTAAAGACATGATTATGTGATTCATGAAAAGGAAGTAAAAATAATAAAATAAAATTGAAGAAAAAGCATAAATTTAACATGGATGGGACAGAGCCTTACAAACAACAATTTTAAAGTACCCGTCTGCAATTTTTATTTTACTAGCTGATTACTGTAAGGTGAGAGAGTAAACAGTAAAATAAATTGTGTGAGTATTATTCACTAAGCACTTGGAATAACTTGAAACTGACCTAAGCAGATGGAGATTTGATAATAATTAACTCTCAGTCAGTGCTAAGAGAGCTAGTATGGATGTCTGCAGTACCCAGATAATCAGAACCTTTCTTTTCAGACCGTAGGTTCATGATACCATGAAGCTAACAGAGAAAAAAAGGAAGTACTTAAAATTCTTTCTAATTTACTTCCAGTACCCTAGTAGCTGTAAAATAGTAAAACAGATACAGATCAGACTCAGAAAGAACAAGAAAACTAGGTAAAGGGACAAGATACTCCACAGGAAGGTAATCTACCCAAGAATGAATTCAGTGCTTTTATTTCAACAAGCATTCTGTGACAACACTTGGCTTCTGAAGACCTTCTTGTTTGTGACTGGGCCACTGGATACAGCAGGGGAAGCACCATGCCTGGCACAGAGGTAGTGAGACAGGTAGGTGTTCAGCTCTTCCTGCTCCCTTGCCTGTTCTAGATAGACAGGGGATATTAGTTTTGATGCCAGTTTTGATAAAGTGACCAATATGTTTGTCCACGTGTCATCAGATCTCTTCATGAGTAAGTTATGGTATATCTCTTGTCATGGCCAGAAATGGAAAGGCTAACAATTAAACGAGTTCATAGTAAGCATTCACTAATACTTGCTGTTGTTATTGATGCTATTTTTGTTTCCACGTGAATGAGGCAGACAAGGATAAGCTTGTTGCTGGAACCTAGATGAGCTCTCTTATGGTGTGGGGAGGGCAGACACACGTGGGACAGCTGCAGTGAGGGTGGTAGGGGAGGCCCAGCCAGATGAGCAGTCCTTGAAGGTGATGATGACAGACAGGCAGCAGATGGTGTCTGGGAGGTCTAACAGCCACAGTCAGGGCCTGTGGTTTCCAAACACAGCTCCAGGTTGACTAGCTATGGGAGATCATGTAAGCTCTTCAAATAATGCCACCCACCACCCCCTCTGATTAAGGGCAGGAGTAGTCTAGGACCTGAGGCAGGGCTAGGGGACAGGGCAGTGGTATGGCATTACATGACAAAAGTGGGCCAAAAAGGAAGACGAGGAGAAGAAGTTAGAAAATGAAACAGGCGGTAGTTACAGTACCTTTCTGAGAACAGCCAGTTGTTATCATGCACTGCAAGAGAGGAGGGAAAAGGCTACAACAGAGACCTTCAGCGGGGAAGGAGCAGAGCAGTGGCATCCCTAGGGGGCTGAGAGAGTGCAGACTGCACCAGGTGACACTGTCGAAGGGGGTGATACCAGAATGACTGTCTATAAAATTTTTATGCAGCATTTCAGCAGAAATTTATTATTTTTAATAAAAACATCCCTGTAGTTAGTTATAATAACAAAAATGTTTTTCGTGCAATATACCTGCAAGGCTAAAACTCTACGCTAATTTACTTTTTGAACCTTCTAATGCACTCCAGTCAAAGCTCTCATTATTACCCAATTACAATGACACTTCAAATCACATGGTTTCATCTGCCCACGCTACAGGCATGCACTGTTGTTTTGTTGCTGCCAGTGTTTTTTTAGTCGCTGATTTTGTCAACTTTTCTAGTGTTTTAGCTACAATATTGTGGTAATTAGTATTTGTGAACATATACAAAACATTTTTTGAGAATGAAGTAGTAATTAAAGGAAAAGAAGGAGAAAAATCAAAAAAGGCTTCCACTCAGTTACTAACAATGTTGGAACACAATGTAGAAAGATTTTACAAAACAATTTTGTTGTTAGTATTTATATAATCTAAGAAATATTACATTTTAGCAATTTACAACTATATTTATCACATATTATTCTATGATTAAAATTGGTAATAAACTTACATGCATAACAATTATTGATCACATAACTCTTTGCTAACGAAATAGAGAAATTGATAGTTTAAAATATGAGGTGGGGGAAATGCTATGTTTCTTGATACATGCTTAGAAATATAACTTAAATCTTAAATTCAGTTTTTAAAAAATTTAGTCTTTTTAAAATTTCTTTTTAAAAAAAATCAATGTCTTGCAAGTATTTATCTGACTTTAATGAAATTTTCAGGGTTTAAGTTTGAATTATGGTTTAAAAAAATAGTGACACATTAAAAAGTGAGTTGGCAAAAGGCACTGATTTCGATGAAGTCATTCACAAGTTCATAGCTTTGAAGGCCAGGAAAGGAAAGTTCTGATTTAGTCGAGATGGTCACTAAGTGCTGAAATGCTTGTGCATGTGTTCCTATTTATTTTTATGGTATTATTTCATTTGTGAATATATTTCCATATGCATTTGCCTACAACTTCTACATTATTTGGACCATTATTGATTATGCAAATCTAATCCATTATTGTATCTAATGTAATGGTAAAGTTTAACGTTAAAATGGACATAACTTGATGTAGTTCTTAAACATTTTTACTTCGAATTCTACTGTTTTCT